CATGATCATACTTGGGAGACAGTTTCAGCCTCATTCAACAGAAGACCGCATATTGCATGGTGAACCTCCTTAGTCAGACCAGTGTTACTGGGCAGAGAAGTCTGACAGGCACTCTAAAATGGATAACAGAGCAGTAGCCTCTTCCATTTTCTCCAGCGGAGAAGTGTTACCCTTCATATTGAGGAGGAAAAGTTATTTAGGAGGTTTACTCAGCTGCCAAGAATAGGCTTTCTTGTTCACATGAAAACATGTCCAAATGGCTACAAAAGATAGTTTGTTTCTTTTTTTTAAGCCAACTTAAACAACATTATTACTGAAAAAAAAAGAGCAGTTACTAGATTTCCTACTGAAGCTTAGGTGCTTAAGATTTTTAATCTTTGGTTCAGTACTTGGCTATTTTTACCACGTTTCAAATTGAGGGCACTTTCAAGTGAGAAACTGCATGAAAGTCAAAATCCTATCATCAGTCCCTCAAAACAGAGGAAATGCAACAATTAAGGCTTTTCCTACAATCTTAATTTTTCCTCCTTGTTTGTAGACATTAATAGTATTGTCTTTAATTACATGATCATATACTATTTTGCTGATGTCTCAATTCAATTGTTCAGTATTTCTTTTCATCATTCTTATTCTTTGTGTACCTTATTTCTCAACCTGCCATTCAGACACTTCAATGAACACAAAAGTATTAATTTTTTTTTCTCTGAGAATGCGTGGTAATGTTATCTTATCCGAGTGCCTCACAAACATCAGTTAAGTCTTTCTTCCCAATCCCTTTATAAGATTAAGTGTGATCTTCCCTATTTGACAGATGAAGAATTTATAGAAACACAGAAGTACAGAAGCATTAAGGTTAAAAAAATCATTTCAAAATCCACTTTATGCCGGAGTTGAGACATGTAGGACAAGTTTCTAGCACTAATGATGTTTAAAGCACTGAGAGCACAGTGAAAGTATGTTTCAATTGCAGTTATTCATTCCTTGTAAATCTGACCTGTGCCCCCTACACTTGTTACCCAAACCCCAACATTTTGGCATACTTTGAGATATATTTTTTGGTGAATCTTCTTTCACTTTGGAAAGAGGATCTCTTAGTCTCTGTATCTGACTATACTGACTGTATAGTCGCAGTATATTCTATGTATGCTGCTTATGTTTGTAGTAGAGGACTCTGAGCAGGAAGGTACTCTTTTTCCAGAAAGGTGTTGGGGGTGTGTGTGATCTTTAAGCTGGATTTGAAAGATTTTTCCATTACATTTCTGACTTATAAAGTAAAATACATCCCTGTATTTTACATGAAAACTAAGGAAGAGCACTTTCCTTAATCACTGAATTTCTTAAAGATTTTTTTTTGTAAATATTCCTCCATTTAATCACATTTTTTTTTCATTTCTCATTCTTTAAATGTTAGTCTTACCTAGGTATGCCTCCAAAATAAATATTTATAATTTTGTTCTGTACTTCTATATGTAGTAGAATAGCTATACAGTTTTAAGATATGCTCTGGTTTTGATACTTTGCATTTCTGTGTTATTTTGAATTGCCTTTATACTGAACTGCCTTTCACCTAGCTAAAAGCATGGCAAAATAAATTCTGCTAAATTATTTGCCTGTTTCTTGAAACTGTTTAGTAAGATGATAAATCTGCAAGGCTAATTATTTAGGCAACACCTGTGGATATGACCCCCAGACGGCATTGTTGTTATATGTAGAATTTCATTGTCTAATTTTACTTCTTCCATTAGCCTTTGAGAAAGGGGTTAGAACTCGAATTATTTATTCAGCACAAATCAGGTAACATGTGCTCCTTAAAATATCACTGCTTTCTTTCTATTCCTAACTGTTGGCAAGTTTCCAACTGTTCAGTATGTTCTGAGATCATAATTACATTATAATAATAATCAGGGAGTGAAAATACTGAGTAAAGACTGGCTTAGAGATGGAAAAGTTCAGAAGTACTAGAGTTGTATTTAATAATGCAACTTAAGAGATTTAGCCTTCTTATACTTAATTGAACAAAAAGCAATTGTAGCACTAAGTTAATTTTTGCTGAAAAATATCTTCAGAAATAATTCCAGCATGCACCATTACATAAAATTCAGAAGATGAAACTGTTGTTTGGCAATGTTGCTAGAACCTTTTATTATAGGCTTCAAAATTCCCAGTAACACTTTTGACTGCAATGAGGTAATTTTTCTACCTTTCTAGTACTTGGCTGATGTCAAGTATAGCATAATGTAGACTGCCTCACCTTACATACCTAATTAACTTCATTTATACCTCCACAATTTGTGCCTCTGCTTGCTTTTACTAATCTATTTTCTATCTAGAAAATGTGTGATTTTAATTACCACATTGGGTTGGCATTTATTTTTACACACAGATGCTAACTGTTCAATCTACTGAACAGTAGCACCGGAAAGAATATTTTAGTTAATGATTGAAAAATAGAACAGAAGTAAAAGCATGGCATGATTTTCTGTCATGAGTAATACACTTCCTGAAAAACCTCAAGCAATGACGAATATTTGCACAATATCCAGCAGCTTAGGTTGAATAGATATAATAGATATGGTATGCTGATTTCATAAACACCCATTGCATTCCTTCAAAATATATTTCTGCTTACTGCTTTCTGGCCAAGCCTGTGTTCTAAAGGCTGGCTTTCTAAGGTCCACTGGTAGCTCTCTTAAGTTATCACTACTGTTGACATGTAAGCTTAGGGAAGTTCATCTCTGTCCTGTGTTTAAAAACAAACCCAAAATAGGCTTTATTCTTCTAGTTTATTTTCTGTAATCTTTAGCAATTACTAATCCATTTTGCTTCTTTAAAGACCGTGACTTCATGTGTGTGCAACAGTAGTTTCTGTTGGGTAATTCTGGCTTCTGTTTTTAAAACATGGGTAGTGTTCCATTTCTGTGTGTTCATGGGGAGCCTGGTTTCTCCAAATGAATGTCAAGAAAATAATTTCTTCTTTCCTAGAAAGTCTCTAGGTTGAAATAAATAAGATCTAGCTCCCCATATGACAGCAAATGTAGCAGAATTTATAGCACTTTTAGTATGATTTTGTTAAAGATAAAAATATGTATAGTACTTTCTTTCTACAGTGATATTTGTACATGCTTTAAATGTTCAAATGGCAAATGTATGTATCTTACAGCTTTTAGAAATGAAATTAGATTAATATGTATGTGTTTCTGTTTTAGGAACTTGAACAATACAAAAGAAATGCCTCTAAATCCTGGAAAGATATGGATTTTGACTCTGATTGATGAACTGCTATAGGTGTCTTCAGTTTAACATTTACTTTTATAATTTTAACACTACACTAGCAAATTAACCTGATGCAGTTGAGAATATACAATATCAAAAATGCAAAAAGAGTATTTATTAAGCATTCCTGTTACTATTTTCAATAAAAAGATGTATATTCACTCAGTCCAAATTTAAGTGTGTCTTCCTACTAACACAGAGTTCTACAAAGTGGGGAGAAAGGAATTCTAGATTACTCAGAGATGGGTTTGAATATGAAGACTGGCATTAGTCAGTTTTAGCTATTTTTTAAGTTCTAACATGTTATATGGTATATTGTTGAATGCTTCCGCCCTCAATGTATTTAAATACAAACAATTTTTTACACCCAAAATAGGTTTCCCTTTGCAAATGCAAAGCTTAAGAATATCTTTGCATCATTATTTGATGCATTTCAATAGGATAGGTCCATGAACACTGGCAGAATAAAGTGGAATTAAAACCATGTTTAATCTGAATTCAAGAGTTTGCTTTATCTTTTTCATTATCATTAAGTTTGATTATTTCTTACAGTGTATAATGTTGCAATAACTTTGCACAAAAAGGCCAGGAAGTCAATCTAATCAAGTATAATTGATTCACTATCAGCCTAAGCTGGTGAAATGCTAGCCTCAACTGGAAATGGTTTTTTGTCCATGGGCACTTGCACTAATACAAGGTGGGCTGAATGTCTTGACAATATGCAAGTCAAGATCTGGATTAAAGGCAGAGGTGTCTTTTACAAGCTAAGACTTGACAGGCTAAATGTCTGAACAATCACTTGGCAGACCAGATTGTAAGAATATTCCCTAATGAACAACCCTACACATGCAGGAAAACGGGAAAGAAACTAAGGTGGTGTCTTTTCAGCTTTTTAAAGTTTGGGTTTTTTTTTTAACATACTTGTTCACCAGATGTTTTTCTGATAACATTTGCATCTCAGAATATGATACATAAAGACATTAGAAAAAAATCTTGACTTTAGGTGGAGAAATTGTGTTAACTCGAGGATTTAAAATTCTTACAAAGTGCATAATCTCAAAAATATCAAATTAGACTAAGTATATTATTATGGAATTTCAAGATAAAAATACACTTACCTCCCCAAAGAAATCTGTAGCTGTGCCTCTGTAATAATTTCTTCACCGAACATGAAAAGTCATTACAAAATTTAGGAATTCTGTCTGTTAGGCTTTCAATTTTGAGAGGTACTTAGATTTATTAAATGGATAAATTATGCTCCTTGGAATGTTAGTGATCCCATGAGAAGAATTTCCAATGATGCAAACTACATCACTTCCAAGAACCATAGTTAAATTGACATTTTATTAACAAATATTTTTTTGCTTTAGCAATTCACAAAGTGCTTCCAGAACAAGATTAGGAACTTGGTAATGAAAAGAAGGAACAGATATAAATAACTGTCTTCTCTTGATTTGCCATCATTTACAAGACAAAAACATGTTGGGTAAATTCTATATTGCTTAAAGATCCTGTACTCGTTGATTGTACAGTATGCATAAGATTAAAGTGGAGTGATTTCTTGATTCTGTCTTTGTACATATTTTGTTTGTGCCCTTTCTACAAATCTAGCAGACGGTATCAAAAGAAAGCATAAGACTTATGATACAATTCTAGAAAGAAGATGTAGTAGCAGTTGTACCCCTCTGCTTATTGGTGAAGGTTAAAAACCACTATTAGTGGGGAAGAAATTAGAGCACCATTGATAGATTATTAAAAACTGACAGCAACAGCTGACTAAATTAAATTCAAAATGTCCTTTAAAATGGGTAATAATGTTGATTATGGCAGGTTTGGGAGTGGGGTGGGAATACCAATAGCAGGAAGACAATCATATTCTTAAGAGAATATTGTTTTTCAAGATGGAAACCATCCAGTTAGAAACAAGCATGAGAAGATATGTTTCTATCTGTATAATCACTTAAAATCTATCTAAAATCTAACAATTTATGCCTTCAACCATAATCAAGTTGAAAGTGTTGCATTAGACACTGTTAGAAGTATTTTTTTATTGCCTGGCTATAATTCTGTCTCTTATTTTGAAGCTCAGAAGTGCTACAATGGCAAGTCCTGGTATAAAAGCATAGAGTATTAGGAAATCAAGTGTGAACTGGGACAGTGCACCAGGAAAGTTTTTTTCAATGAACTGAGTGCCATGGGAGAAGACACACACAGGATTAAGTGTAGTGGAACTGTTGGCTCCACCTGTTAAAAGAACAAAGTAATATCTTTAGCAGGCAAATCAGTAAAATTAAAACTCGACTTCAGTATCTAGCTCATACATTTAACATATCTATCCCTAATGCTATTTTAATAATGAACTCTACCCACAGCAGTATTTCTCATCATTTTGGAATAAGAACAGGCAAGGCACGTGTTTCTGCAGGTTATCTATGCTTATTTTTTTTTAAGGGAAAAATAAAGGGTCATTAGGAGCCTTCTGGTTTGTTCGTAACCAAAGATCTATGGTTTTTCAGACATGTTATCTGGAGAGACCTCAAGAAGTGAGGATAGACTTACAGAGCCCAATGGGATAGACTTACAGTGCTCTTGTAATAAAAAGGGATGGGGTGGATTAATGGAGAATATAGCCTTGGAGAGGAGCACAGACACCTGTCTGCGAAGCCCAAAATAGCTTGGGTAGGTCCAAAGCTGTAAGGTTGAACCTTATTGATGGATGTTAGCTACTGATCCTGCCAACCTGATTGATTCTCTCATTTTGCCAGTCATCTTGCTCACAAGCAGAAAAGTATAGCCTCACAGATCTAAGCTTAATATGTGTAGTGGTAACATTGGAACCAAAGCATCACTAGTATTAAGAGAAAACATCCGGTCAGGTGTTACCTGTAAGTGCTCCCTGCAATGATGTTTGATCTTATATTGTGCAATTCTATTGACCTTCTATTTGTCTAACGCTACTCTGATAAGCTCCTAACAGACTGCAAAGTTCACCCTCCAAAACGCCCCTAAAGCCAGGGTAAAAGAACCGAGATGAGAAAAATGAAGAACTGAATGAGAAATGGTTGGGAAAAAAGAATCAAGCGTTTGTCTTGCTTGCTGATATGACATTATCATCTTTACTAATTAATAAGCTTTTTTTAACACCTCAGAAGTTATCTTCATTTTATCAAGATACTTGTATGTAGAAGGAAAATAAGCATCAACATCTCATTAAATAATTTACAATGGAATAAAAGGCTATTTTTTTTTCCATGAACACTTACCACATGTGAAGTTTAAGCCATAAAATTCATTGACTATGAGAATTTCACTGCTGTATTTTTGAAAGGTAAGATAACTGAGTATCTTAAAAATTCTTGGCATATCTTCAATGGTCCTTGAAGAAACAGAGAATTTAAACTGTCTTTTGCTATATTCCAAGAGCCAATTCTACCCCAAATTAAAACAAACTAACTCTCATCTTTTTTCTGTAGCTTGTTACAGACACAGTTCTTGGCTGTACCTGGAGGGTTTTAAAACAAGTCCATTTTAGTACTAAAGGAGGGGACAGCCATGAAGGCTGTCTCTGACTGTGGTACAGTGTCATAATGTTCAGCCACAATGTTATGGACAGTCACAAATAATCCTGTGAAGTATTTTGCTATTCACATTGCAGTGATAAAACTGTAAAAATAACAGGACGCAATATAAACCTTAGTTGCAAAAGTGTTGCTTCCGAAGTAAAAAAACCACCTCCCCAACTCCATCTTCAAAAGCTACAGAAGACTGAATATCAATTCATGGGAATAATAACAAAAGATCAAAAATGAAGCAAAAATAATTAAAAACAGTACAGAAATGTTGAAATAACATTATTCAACAAGACTGGGCAATTTCTGCACCTAAAATAGAATCATCACAGACTGGCTGGGGTTGGAAGGGACCTTAAAGTTCATTCAGTTCCAACCCCCTGCCATAGGCAGGGACACCTGCTAGACCAGGTTGCTTCCAAGCCCTGCCCACCCTGGCCTTGAACACTGCCAGGGATGGGGCAGCTACAGCTTCTCTGGGCACCCTGTGCCAGAGCCTCACCACCCTCAAACGCTGCAAGGCATAACTTAACAGATGAACAGAAAAACCCAGCAACCCAAATCTCAATGCTATTTTTAACATCCTTCGTTGCCTATGAAGATTAATCAAAGAGATTCATATTATAATATTAATTAGCAATGTCTCTACTGCAAAATAAGTTTAGAAACCACTCTAATACTTTTAGAAAGTTATCATTTAGGGCATTAGACTATGGTAGCGGGAGTAACTTGTCACTTGTCATAATAACTTGTCACTGTAAACGTGCATCTTCCTGAAATTAGGTAGGGACCAATTAATTAGCTATTAACCTAGTTTTATCTCTTAAGCAAGTATTAGACGAGATCTGCTTTGAAGAGGCAAAGCAGCATCAACTTTGAGAAGACTCATACACGTTTCCTGCGGACAACTCAACGGCATCAATTGTTAGGTTTACTTACTTTTCATTGGAAAGATCACAAGTGAGCAATTTTCAATTCATAATGTCAGCATAAGTAGAAAAGAAAACATCATCTGAGCCAATAGGTACTAATACCTCAGTTTTAGCTTCAATTGATTTGCAAAAAGTGAAAAAATACTTTTATTTATAATGTTATATATTTATATATGTTTATATAACATATATGTTATACACATATATACATATATATGTTATATAAACATATATATAACATATATAGACATATGTTGTAATGAAAAATATTAACAATTTATTAATATTTAAAGTTATTAAGTGTCTAGTTTGTGTGTGTAGTACAAAGTCTGAGGTGATTAAGTAGTTCTGCCCCTGAAGGATAACAGCTGCTCTGTCTTTCCATTGCTGCTTGTGCGTTATTGTGCTTCTGCAACATAGCCTGTTCACGAGACTCTTCTGCAGGTAGATTATTTCAACATTACACTATAATGAAATAAAACTTTTTCCTACCTTAGTAGTCCTGCTCCCACTGTCACACCGGCTGAATTAAGTAGCACCACTCCACTTTGGACTATGTTTGGGTTTTGAACCACGCCAAGCACAGCAAGTGTTAGTAGTTCACCAATTATATGACATGCTAAGACAACAGCAAAGAAAATTCCAAATCTGGCAGCATCAGGATGCATCCCAACAATCCTGTACAAAACCGAGCAAATGAACATTTAAAAGCAGTGTTTGGGTACTAGACTTGGAAAGTAGCTTTTATTTCTGTTTGTATTTATTTTTTCAATTTTTTTTTTTTTTTTTTTTTTTGCAATTACAGCTCATTAAGTTAACAGCTTATGCCTTAACCCGTAGTATGTTGTTTGGAGCCTTAACATAAAGGACATCCTCTTAATACCGTGACAGATAGATTAGGTTTTCTCCATCCAGATTAAAGAGAGCTACATAAATACATACTTTGAAGCAGAAATCCGTGTAGTTTCAGGATAACTACCATGACTTATACAATCCCTTAAACTAACATCCTCCTCCTTCTAAAGTCTACACAGTTATTTATGTAAGTCATATATTTAAAGAACGTCTTTAGGCAGATAATTAACAGATGGAATTTTGCTCTTCTGATACTGCGCATACAAATGTAAAACCAGATATACTCAATCAAATGCAAGGCTAATTGAACTCACCACCCATGTAATTCACCCAAATGCAATTTCCTCCGTACTCCTACGTTTCTTAATACAACACGCTGTACTGAGCTTTTCCTTAGCTAATTGAAGAAAGAAAGTCCCCCAATCTGTACTAAAGATTAAAAAGTTAAGAAAGGCCAACAGTTGATTGGCAAAGTTAATTCAGCCTTATCATGCATATTACAGATGACAAAACCTTTTATTACATGGTGACATGTTACTCTTTTTCAAAATACCTCACCCCAAAATTGCCTCACACTGGGTACAGACTGCTTTGCTTAACTAACAAGCAGCCATTTAACATTTTATTTTCTTTCTCCTTGCTCGGTGCAAGGTCCTGTACTTTTATTTTTTATCTACCATATTTGAGCATAATAGAAGTATTAATTTTCTCACAGGCTTTCCTGTAGCATTTTTTGTAACACCAGAATAACCTCTCTTATAAGCAGGTGGCTGAGCACTGACTCTTCAGGCATTGAACATTGAACAAACTAAGAGGTGTTTAACAAACAACCTTTAACCACAGATCAGTGCAGAAGAAACAACTTTGCAAAGTCCTGGCATAAAAGTATCACCTCCTCTGGAGTGCTCTAATACTTTCACAGCTATGTAAATACAAACTAGTAAATCTGGAGTAGGAATAAAAAGAGAAGAAAGCCTAAAACTCAAAGAGAGAATATAACAGCAATAGAACAGTAGGATGATGAAACTGTTAGAACATTTCCCAGAGGAATATTCAGCTAGGAAAATCTGACAAAGAGTACATTTACTTGAGTGCAAAACTGGCTGTATTTGTTCTTGGCCAGATCTGCCTTGTGCTTGATCAGGTAAGAGTTTGGCTCTGTCTGACCCTAGCTGTCTAACCCTACAAATACGAATGCTGAGAGAGCAGCTTGTAAGAACACATAGGAGTCTCCATCCAGGAAAGTGTAGTCCTGCACAGATACAATCTTCAAAATTTCATATAGAAACTTTACACCCTGTGAAGTCTACGGGCACTATGAAATCACTCTGACACATCACTGATGGCTTCCACAACCACAAGGTAGCAAAGATATGCAGAGGCTAAGATAGAATGGTTTGTGTTGGAAGCGACCTTAAAGATCATATAGTTCCAACCCTCCTGCCATGGTCGAGGACACCTTCCACTAGAGCAGGTTGCTCCAAGCTGTGTCCAGCCTAGCCTTGAATGCAGAGAGGGATGGGGCAGCCACAGCTTCTCTGGGCAACCTGTGCCAGCGCCTCACCGCCTACACAGTGAAGAAATATCTGTAAATATTATTCATTAACCAGAACCACACTCTTTATTGTTGATTGTGTTTGAAGCTACCAGAGCACAAGGGCAAAGTCTCTACCCTCACACATTTCCTGTTTAAGGAGTGAGTGTGACAAGCAGTGGCTTGTGATCTTTAGGAGCTCCACAGGTCTTACACTTTGAACCTGAAAAGGTGCTTTCCAAATGGCTGCCTTCTCAGCAAACAGCTCTCTAGCGGGCAGACAGAAGGGCTCTGGTGAGCGGAGGGCATCCCCTCTATGCACTTACTGGGAGGAGGACTAGCTTTTTGCTTGTCTGTGAAAAAGGACTTCTCAGGGAGCATTGCCTGAAGCAGGCAGTACTAACTGCTCTCAGGAATAAAATCCCAGGTAGCTAAGGGGACAAAGAGAAAGATGGCCTTTCTTGAACAAAGCTGCTACTTTTAAAATCAGCACCAAACTACAAAAAAAACAACCCACGCACAGAAGTCCTCATGTGTGGAAGAGCAGAAATCACCCTCTCAGAGTTTTTGCCATCTAGGAGCTGACAGTTACTGAGATCCTTAATGGAAAGAATTAGGCAAATGCTGAGCACTTCACCACTTTACCTGCTACAGGCCTAGAGGAAGAAGAAAAAGGTTACCTTTTTCCTGAGTTTTTCTAGATGAGAAAAGAGCTATTGCGAGATTCCCACGGCAGACTAACTCCCTATGCAGAAGTTCTGACTCTAGTCCAAGCGATTTGGTGCAGTTTTACTTCATCCATTTTCAAACTGCCCAAGTGCATTTTACCGAAGAGTAAGAGCACTAACATGCACAGCTACAGCAGAATAGCTCCTGCACTTCATCTCTTTTACAGGGGTCTACCCACTTATAATTTATCAAAGCTAACTGGAGAACATGCATCCAACAAACCAAGCCTACTGTTCCTTTGTACACATTTTGCTATAGACTGCCACCTGATTGCAACTTTACTGCTAACTGTCACATGAAAACAAACATTAACTTTAGTGCACTGCACTCCTTTCATAATTGGGAAAAACAAACAAACAAAAGAAAACAGAAAAAAGATTGAAAGACAGAAATTCCTTAGTACTTTTCTATTAGCTTATATGTGCAGCCATAGAGTCTATTAAGTTTGGCTTAAGGAAGTAGAAGGCAAGAAATCAATGGTACATAATGAAGAAGAGCAGACATGTACGACGGACAAGGCAATGATCAGATGAAATACTTCACGACCCCATTCAGAAGTACTACTTCACAACGATGCAAGCAAATGAATATACTGGGGCGGGGAGGAAATCAAGTTTTACAATCAAACCCTTTCTCTCACTGTCAGAAATCTACTTCAGTGCCTCTCTCTGGAGAGTGGAAGGGAAGGGTCTAGATATCATCATCTCCATATGCTATGGCTAAACCCCAAAACTCTCAGGAAATATACAGCTTTGTTACTCTTCCCCCCCCCTATATCCTACTTTTCAAAAATGTAATGTAAAATGACACTTTCTGCTTTTGATATGACACAAGAATGATAAATGTCCCAGCCCCATTAAAACCTCCCAAGTTACCTAGAGAACTAGTAACTTACTCAGAAAGTGTTTTAACACTGCCTGAAACTGTGTCATCTTTCCTTAAGCTTGCTCTGTAATCATTCTAAGAGACAAGAGTAGGAAGCCATGCCAGGAGGCCTGTTGCTCACATAGGAATTTAAACTGGTAACAAAAAGAAAATAACAATCCAGTGGATGGCCCAAGTGCTTACCAGTAAATAAAGATGCAGAAAATCGCCACGCTGATGACACTGAAGGGTAAGAAATGTACTATATAAGCTAAAAGCATTTGCCACTTCTTGTACAAGCCATCTTTACTTTCCTGGTCACTGATAGCACGTAAAGGTGGGACTGCAATAAATATAGAAGAAACAAATTAAATCGCCATTGAATAAAGAGATAAAGACTTGTTGCTATCAAAAAAGACCTGGAGCAAAGAGACAGCTTTAAGAATCTATCAGAAACATTCAGTCTAAACCAGACTGATGTTTCCCCCCACTATAAATGCAACAAATGCTCCCCACAGATTGCAAAAGTTGGTAAGTTTAATGAAAGGGTCCTATCTAGGCAGCATGCAGGAGAGGCTTCTCTTTTTGCAGATATAACTTAAAGGCCTGAAAAAACTGCCATCACAGGATCATTTCTTGAGGTGTTCTGATCTGCAGGTGATGACAGGGCTACATGTTACCTACATGAGCATAACAGTGTTTAGGACTGTAAATAGAAGCTACTGTTGGTCTTAGTACGGCAGAGAAGAGAGCTGTAAGAGAAACAAATTAAATCATTACATAATACTGTTAAATCTAATTATGTTTACTGCTGTCAAAGCAGGTTTATATTTTTATCTTTTCCACGTCTTATGATTTGCTCTCATTTAAGATGCCAACCCCAGACTTAGACTTTGTCCTGCCTTTATCACACTACACGCAGGCAAATTAAGGGCTCTTGCACAGTTCAGCCTAAAGCCTCCGCACACAGGGCAGCTGTAAAAAGGAGATGCAGAAATTGAGGTGTATTCCATCATTAAGTGCAGTAAACCTGGAGCCCCCCTGATTGCTTGTCTTATCTTTTTCTGTGGTGTGACGCTTCCTGCTGCTTTGCCTTCAAATTTCATGCCTCTGTATCAGCTCTGACATTACCCAAAACTGTTAAGATCCTTTAAATGATTATCTTCAAAAAATACTTTCTCCTATTCATAAGGTAGTGGCAGTAATACTTGCTGCTGCACATAATACAGAAGCAAAACTCACAAAGGACAGCACCGTTGAGCATCCCTGTGTAGGGGGGAGCACTCACGCACTGGTAGACCAGCCCCACACGATCCTGCACAGCTCCTTTTTCCAGATCATTCCTTAGTCTAAGAAGGAAAAATGCTACAAACAAGCCAAATAGCAGATTCTGGAGGAGACGCATGATGATGCCCATCTTATCTCTGGAGAAGTTTCTTGTTATCCTCCTGATAATGAAACGAAACAATAACAACACCAAAAGATTGGTGAGAAAGATAAAAAAAATTTTTCTTTTTTAAAAAAGAAGGGAGAGAAAAAAAAGATTCTTACCGTACAAGAATCCACAATTGGCAAAAGGCATTGGGTGAGTCTTTGTTTTTGAATGGAATTGGTGTCAGCTCTTTCATACTCTTTGCTCTTTCAATGGTTGCCAGTACTTTGCTAAAGATCTCTGAGTTTCTGTAGGCCGATACGATTACCTGAACCCTACTGTAGGTTTCAAGTTCACGTTCCTTGCTTCGGGTGTCCACAGATGTCAGATCCACTGTAAATTTGCAAAGTGTTTAGAATCAAGGTTGGAAAAGACCTTTAAGATCATCCAGTCCAACTGTCACCCTAGGACCACCAAGTCCACCACTAAACCATGTCACTGAGGGCCTCATCTACATGGGTGATCCCACCATGTCCCTGGGCACCCTTTTCCAATGGCTGACCACCCTTTCAGTGAAAAAAAATTCCTAATATCCAAACTAAACTTCCCCTGGCACAGGTTGAGGCTATCACTTCTTGTCCTATCACTTGTTACTTGGGAGGAGAGACCAGGTGCCTCCTGGCTCCATTCTCCTTTCAGGTAGTAGTTGCATTTGCATACACATCACTTTCCATTCATATCTCTTTCCTCAACTTGCAGCTAACTTTTCCTTGCCTCTTTTCTCAAATCTGCAAAGAAGGAAAGGTCCATGGAAGTATTCATGGTTTCTTTTACTCCTCCTTTCCATTGGAAGCAACATGAATGAGTAACTGTGCAGCCACAAGAAATCTCTGTGTTTTGTGGCCTCTGTAGGACCCTGAAGCTCAAGTCCTTTACCTGGAAATGCAAGGACCAAATGGTGTGGTCAGACTTTTAGCATTCTCCTTGCACAGCATAGCGCCATGCCACTGGTGAAGCACTACTGCTGGCAAGAGCAAGAGAGAGCACCAGCTGAGGATGAACACTGATGAGGATGAAGAGTTGCCTTTCTGGTCATGTATTTCTCACTTTTTCAGGCAAATGCTCAGACATGGGTCCCTGATTCCCCCTTGTCTTCTACTTACTCCTCCATAACCCCATAACAATGGAGCTTTATTTTTCAGTCAGAGATCATGCTGCACAGAGATTGCTCTTTTCTACTTGAGCTGTTACTGCATTGTTGCACTTGGGTTTCATCCACCTCCTTCTCAGACATACTTTTGTTTTAATGTGAAGTTAAAGGGTGTTCAGCAGGCCAAATTCATCTAGCAGGCTCAGCCCAAGCTGAAGAAAGTATTACTTACTTCCATGGAACTTATGAAAAGGTAAATACTTCACATAGTTAATGTTCCTTTCTAATAAATCCACCTATACCTATTCCTGACACCAGCAATTCTTTTACTAGCAGATGGTAACCTTGTGTGGGCTATTTGTACAAGTCACACAGATTCAGCTATAGAGCTGAAATGCACTAGAAATTTCCCTTTTCCCTAACAGCAATGAATTATATAGGGCTTCAAAAACTAGACTGTGGTTCTCAGGAATTTATTTAATTCTTGCAGATTTTTACATTACTCTTCTACATTTGATAAGGCATCTTTGACAGTTACTTGTTCCTCAGTTTTACAGTGTTATGCTCAACTTCAAGATATGTCTTGAACAAGAGAAAAGGAGGCCATGCCCAAGATTCTTAAGATCCTCAAAATCTGACTTAGACTTATGAATACTTCCCTGTTGTTCTGAAAGCTGGAATTCAGCATAACTGTCTTTAATGATAAAAAGAATTCAAAATTATGTCTTCTCTTTTGTAAACATGAACATCTGAAATGCAGACACTTTTTAAAACCTGGCCAGTGTGACTCGCTGAAAGTCATGCAGGAAATAAATGGCAACCATGTCTGTTTTAATAAAATGATAACACCAAATAGTCACTAGACCAAATAGCTAACGCCTACATGCAGTTGTACTCTTTTAATAAACACAGGTAACTTTTCAATAACATAAGCTTCACTCAATATGTAGGCTCTGTTTTCCTCTGCTGCTGGTGCAAAATGGTATCAGGATCCGTCCCTTCATTCACATCATTAAATCACATAAAAAATATAAACTACCAATTTTCCAAAGACTAAATATTCTGATGATTCTTTGCTCTAAACTGTATTTTTTCCTTTTCTTGTCACAGTCAAAGGTTGACACTTAAAGAATGCAGTACTGTCTTTACCAAGCCTTTTTAAAAGTGGGTCTAAATCTCAACTCATCTATGCTTTTCAAGACTATTCAAATTCATGAAAGCAAAATTATCCTCACTGTCACACTAGTATTTTCAGCTTCATCCCATTCCAGATTCATGTCAACAACCATCCTCTCTTCTCTCTGAATTTTGGATGCCATCTAGACAATAGGAAAACACTGCCTCCTCTGAATACAGCTTTTTGGATTGGTCAGATTCCTTAGTTAATGCCTAGCTAGTATCCTCAAAAATCAGCTTACGTACTAGATTCTAAAGGAAAGATATATACATGTATGTATGTATGCACATGCACATACACATTCTCTTCAAGCATATATTTGCAGGGATCGGTCATCTCATGTTTATTCTACATCCTTTCCTCCAGGAAACAACTGCTTCCAGCTGCTTGGCATCTCTGAGTATGTAAGAGCATAGGACTTTCCACATTTTGGATCAATTTGATTTTCCAACATCCAGTGGACAGCCATAAGGAATCTGCAGGTTACATGAAGCTGAGATTCCTTTTTTATTAGTAGCTTATTCCTTTCTGCTGTGTTTCAGACCTACTGCAAACTTGTGCTGGTTTATGGAGTCAGTGGAAGTTACATGGGCCCAATCCCCTCTCTGAGCTGAAAATAATGACAGAGTTGGAGAAGAATTCAAATTCAACACATTTCTATCTATATAAATATAATTTAATATGGCGAAGAAACAACTTGTTTGTTTAAAGGGAACCTTTTTTTACCAAAACAACTTAGGCAAACTTACCATAGAAGTCAAAAGGATTTGATTGCTCAGGACAAGAATAGCCACAGTCACTAAAAAAAGTGATCATTTCCATAGGGTTCCCACAGAAAACCATTTCTCCAAAGCTCATGATGGCTATTTTGTCAAATAACTGCAGGAGGGCATATGAATATATTAGCAATACGTATTGAGGAGAAGTGCATTAATTGTGAAGTACAGCTACTGTCTTGGTAATAAAAATGCTTTGACAGGAAAAATAATTTTGACACATTCAAACCTCCTTACTATCTTTCTCTCAAAGGAAGTTTACCCTTCCGTTCACTCCTCTTGGTGGTTATGCAAGATGACACATCTTAAAGCTCTTTAAACTAGTAGTTCTCAAAACTGTCAGGGACGGCAACATACAGAGGTAATCCACAAATGGAAGTGGGAACTGTGGCCTTCTGGCTTCACTTCTAATGCACCTTCACTTATTGACTGCCCTCTTTCAGTGCTTAATAGCCCCAGACTGTAAAATCCCCAAATTGTTGGAAGATTATCCTTAAGTGCTTATGGACTTTAACAGCACTGCTCTCCAGGTGAATATTTGCCAGGGCAGAGTTCCCAACAGCTATAGTCAATCCATATTCCCAAGGCACCAGGACTGCTTTCAGTCCAGAAAAGCACTCTCACTCCCCTCTGGCTTCTTGACCACTTATGCTCAATTCAGTCATAGGGAAGAGCTGCCTTGCATTCAACGTGGTGGGTCTTGGATGTGTCAGAAGAGCAAAGTGCAAAACAGTAATGGGAAGGGAGAGATGCTTTCCTCATCACAAGCCCTGAAAGGCAGACCTGCCCCATCATGAAACCAAGGTATACCCACATCACCTGACACAAAGAGGAAAAAAGATAATTATTTTTCCCCAAGTCATGGCTTCATCTGTCTCAAGTTGCAATTGTTACTGAAATGTGAATATGTAAAGATAAATAAAGTTCTAGTTTTTAGAGTGCGCGCCCAACTGGAGGATTTGCATGGCTTCTCCCAGTTTTTTGGGCAGCTGTGTAACACAAAGCTGAGGCAGTCAGTGTGCATATTATTTTCACAGGGCAATATGTTACCCAAAGTGCCCTGTGACGGGCAGAAGGGCAGAGCTAAGTTCAAGACAAGTCTGTGTTTATATGGGGGAAAGGAGGAGAGACTTTGAAGGCAACTATACTGCATATTGTACTTTTATCCTGAAAAGAACCTAGGTACTAAAAAGCTTGGTAAAAAAATATAAAAAGGCAAATAGTAAATAGATATCATTTACTCTGAAGAGTTCCGAGCGAGGCTGGTGAATTGTAATAATCACTATCCTGCCCCTATGTGCAAGTTCCGAGAGAAGGGAGACAATCTGCTTTGCAGTTAGGCAGTCCAGCCCTGTTGTTGGTTCATCAAGCAGCATGACCTCTGTGAAACGAGAAGGAAACTCAGGTAAATGGGGAGCAAATGTTATAGCTTCTGCCTTTGGAGCTAATTTGGCAAATAATATAGAAATTACTTTACATGTGAAGTTCCACATGTAAAGCGGAGTATGTATAGATATTGCCATGATGTGATCTCCAGGTTTTAGTTAGCTTCAGTGGTTCAGGTTCAATGACGAGTAATAAGGACATAAAGAAACTACTGCAGGATCAGAGCATAATGATTTTTTTCTAAGTTCAGGTGAAATCTGAAGATTACCAAACTAGGTTTGATGTATACATCCGCTTCCAAGAACAATAACAACAAATTTCAGCATGTATACAAATGTAAATATAACTGATATAACTGCCCAGAATCTATAATCTGAATTAAATCTTGATATACACACAGAATTTGTTATGAACAAAGACTTGTTAAAATACAGCATATGTAATTCCATAGATGGGGGGGTAGTACTGCATTTTCTTTGTGCTTTTATTGCACATGGAAAGGGAAAAGTTACACTCAAATCCATTATTTTTACAGAGATGAGACATGACACAGAAGAAGACAGTTCAACCTTGATCAGGATAAGGAGGGAGAAGCGCTTTCTCTCTAAGTTTATTTACAGTTACTGTAGTGTTTACGATAGGGTTTAGTGAGCTTCCTGAGCAATAACTAGTCCCAGCGAACTCTCTAAGAGTTTCCAGTAGCAGTAATAAACCTCACTTTGCTACTTAAATGCTCCTTCCTGCCTGGTATGCAGTCCTAGCACACCTACAGCAATATGAGGACTCCAGAATCCAATAAATGCATGCTATACATTCACTCCATAAGATTTTGTCACACTTAAGAAAGCATTTCAAAACTCAGAAAATTTACTGTCCTGTTTCCCATGGCTAATTCTTCTACTTACTTTGATTTTCATTCATCATATTTTTTTTTTGATCTGGCACTCAAACATGCATGGTTTAATGACAGCTACTCCACTAAAAGGCTCAGTGCTTGCTTATTTATAGCTCTAATGAACTCAAAACCTAGAAAATAATGAGCCACAACCAACATTTCATACCTGGGAAGGGTGAGCCCAGAAAGGCTTGAAATGGATATATGCAAATCTAAATCTATGTTTAGTCCCTAAGGTTTTGAGATTGTCTACTTTCCAAGATCAACTAATAGATTAACGGCAAACTTCAGTTCCTGCTCATCCTTTTCTGTCACTACTAGACTAGCTTTTGCTGAATTACAGAATATAAATGCCTTTATATGTTAAAGTGGTTTATGGAGACCCATGGTAAGAGCACAAGGTGACACTGCTTTGTTTTACTTTGAAAATCTATGCATGGTACTTACTGGGATCTTGTAATAGCTGGGCTCCAATTGAAACAAGACGCCTCTCACCCCCTGAAATTCCTACAAAATTACGGCTTCCAATTATTTTGTCAGCAATGTGGCTGAGACTCACCTCAGCCATAACTGCATCTACCTGAAAAATAATTACAATTTAGAAAGGCTAAACACAGTCCAGCTCAGATACCTGTGTGCAAAATGAAGAAATGAAAGAAAAAACCATAATTTTAAGCTATGGCTTTCTCAATATGCTATTTGCATCCACTCTATTTGGAAGATATCTGGCTTCATTATTTTTGATATGTTATTTCAATTTCTTTTTATTTTATTTTCATGTATACTGAAATAAGTACAGTTTTAGCTTCAGTTGACATTAAGAGATTAAAAGGTGGGACTAGAAGTTAAGGTATGAAGAATAATGTGCTGGTCTGGCTTCAAAAATAAGGGAGCAGAAAGCACATCAGTTCTGGGGAAGTACAAAATACTGGGTGGAAGATAAGTGAAAAGAGAAGACAGAAAGCAAGAGCCTTTGGTCAGGAATATTGGATCTTTATTCTCAACAGAGGCCAAAAAGAGTCCTCTAATAGATCTGGAACACACCTATTTTATCAGGAAAGTAGCGTGTATGTGGCTTATTAGACCAGCTTTTTGGAGCTGTTCTGGTTAGTGGAAGAGAGCCTACAAGAGCCAGAATAGTGTCAAAGTCACCTCTGCTGCCCATGAAACTTGCCAACACACATAGCCCTAAACACCCCAGAGAACCACGTTTCTCAGCTGGGGAAGGGAAAGAGACCTCGATGCCAACAGCAGCATCTGTAACAGTAACTGCCTCAGCTCTGGGGAAAATAGTTTTGTCCCAACACAATGGTGATTCCCCAGGGCATCAGCACAAGCCCCTTGCAGAGCAGGGAGCACCAGAGAGTTTGCGTCCTACTCCTCAGCAAGAGGATTTCTCCTCATCTGCAGAAGGATTACAAAACCTTGTAAACGTAAAACACAGCCATGGATGGAAAGTGCCGCTGGTGAAAGCATTACATGACATAATGTCTGCCTTTCTGGTGGAAGATGATAAAATACAGACCTTCTTTCTGATTAAGTCGTCAGAGCATTTCTGAAGAGTTAGTAAAGCAGTGTAGGTTAGAGTCTCTTGTATGGTGAGGAAGCTTAACAAAGTGTCATTCTGAAAAAAAAAGGGTGAAGAGGAAGAAGCAATTAATCCTGTAGTAATGAAGATCTTGCCCCTACTTGCACAGCCTTCATTCATTCATACATTTTGTTAACTGCGTTGTAAATTGACTGGTAAAATCACAGTCAGATTACATTACTCCATTGCATTAGCAACTTTACTTTTTTAAAATTAAAGGAAGCACAGCACACAAATAAAATGCAGAAATCAACCTGTGGCACATAAGACAAGCAATCTTTAAACTGTTCCTTCTTCAGCTGACACCCATTCAAGTACACATCACCAAATAAGTTGTCTTTATGTCCCAGTCTTCCCGATATCGCATCCAGAAGTGTTGTTTTTCCAGATCCTTTAAAAGAAAAGGAATTAATCATGTTGTGAAATGAATTATATGATTTCAAGAGCAGTAGCCTCAATTGGATGGAGAAGAGAAGAAAGTACTTTTTTTTCTCAATAACATTAAAATAAGTCCTGAGAATGCAGCTAGTTAAAAGGAATTAAATGGGAAACACAGAAAGTGTGTAAATTGGCATTTAATTCATACAAATTCACACTTCTTAGCTAAACATTTGGATTTAGAAGTAACATTATCTCTTAATGAAGTTATAATTGTTAGTTAGATGACAGAAGATTAAACTCTGAAAACCAAGCACTACAGAGATTAAAACCAGCTGCAACATCATTATTTAAAACGCAGACCTCAGTCACACTCATACCACTGTGGAAGCCACCGGTGTTAGTTTCGATCTTATTTCTTTTAAAGTACTGGAAAAACTTACCTGAATTTCCTAAAATCCCCATAATCTGGCCACTCTCTACGTGAAATGAAACATCCTTAAGTATTTGCCGGGTCCATTTTTTATGACATAAAGAAACATTCCACCATGGGCCAATGTGTTCTCTTGGAAGACAAACATATAAAAAAATTAAATAGAGGAAATTTAATAAAATTTGCATACAGTAAGCAAATGCCTTATAGCTACTTGCATGTGGGATGGGAGCCTGAAGGTGTTTTAAAATATTGGAGCCTTACTCCCCTAGGCTTTAACATTTTAACTCCAGCATTATCTGGAAGATAAAATGAAGTCTGAGCAGATTTTTTGAGCTGACAGCTGTGATGCTTTCAGATTACAACAAAAGGGGAAACTTTAACTGAGGCTTTACTTGTTGACGATGCTTGCCAGCTATTAATCCACCTGCTTTCTTATGGCCTCACATTATCCGTCTTGCAACCGTAAGAAAGGCAGTGGGAAGGGGCACAACCTTTGGAAATCTCTAAAGCATCACCTTCACAGACATGTGAAGAAGAACTGGCGAACCCTCTGGAGAACAGACTAGCTCTGCTTCCCTCAGTCCAGGCACTCAAACCCTGTGGTGGGCAGCCCAGCAGCATGAGGAGGGCAGCCTGGCAGCGCCCCTCCTTTACTGGGCTGAAGCTAAACCCACGGCCCACCAGTCCCAGCCCCTCTCCCCTCAGTCCCTGTGGTCAGAGCAGCACCTGGCAGGCAGGGGCTCACCATGCAGCCCTCCCCAGCTCTACCTGACGGTGTAGGAGATGCCCTGCACACTGATGCTGTTGGAGGGCTGCACCACGGCCTTGGCCCTGCCTGTCTTCCCATCGCTGTCGCTCCTCTCCAGGGTGGGAGACATTCTGCCCGACATCGACATCTTCCAGTGCTGGGGCCCCTTAGACTCCTTTCCTCATGCTGCTGGCCAGGTCCCTGACACTGCCACCACCATGCCTCTCGCAGAATCAGGCAGGGGCAGCTCACCGCTGGCCCCAGGTCAGAGCAGGTCGCTGGCCCCGGTGCTTGTCACCTGGGAAAGTGCCTAAAAGAAAATAAACGGGCTTTAAGTTCTTCCTTTTTCCTGAAAACAACTGATAGGCGGTTAGCAGAGGCCGCTATCTGATGTACCTTTAGCCTGGGCTGTTACTGCCCCAGAGGAGGGGAATACTTCTCTGTCCGCAGGGCCATGCCAGCTGCAGAGACACAGCGTGCCAGGAGAAATGGGGCTTGGAAAGCACTGAGCTCAAAACCAAGAGGAGAAGGATTTCTACAGCTTTTGAAGAGCCAGTAGTCAAACGACGACAGGGAGCAAGACCTTCCGCCACCAACATGAAGGAAGACACTGAAACTATCTCTCTGGATAGTGCCAGCTGGAGCCAGGTGGCACGCAAGGAGGTGACGGTGAGTGAGACCCGCAAGGAGGGACCCAATGGGCTTAGCTGTTCTGCAGCTACAGTGCTGGCTTGGGAGCTGGGACAGGCGGGTGGTCAGCCTGCCAGCCAGGCTTCTCCACAGGCAGCAAGACCTTACCTCCCTGCTCCAGCTCTGAAATGGCGAGCGGAAAACATCCTCACTCCCCACAAGAGCACATTGGAGATGTGGCTAGTGCTATGCAAGCTGTGCTCAGGTGCCATGGTGGTGAGGCTGAGGGATGGGATCTTCAAATAGGTGGATGGATTAGAAACTCCCGGAGTATGACCTGGACTGGTGTTCACACGATGTGCCTTTGGACTGTAAACCAGCTCCACACGTTTGCTGGGAAGCACCTGTTTCTTAAAAAATTAAATTTAACATAAGTAAGAGTGTGAAGTGCTTTTGCAGTGGGAGGAGCTTGGAGGGCTTTAACATGGCTTTTCAGGCTCCTTGTTTTCACATTGCTGACTGCTGTGTATCTAGACTGAAAGGATTCATCAGCCTTGTTTGCTGTGAGAAAAAGAGGTGCACACAAAGAGGGCGATCACCATTTGCAAAGACACCTAAGGCATGACAGGGTCTGCTATGCAGTGAACAGGTACATTTGCCTTGGCTAGGGTATGAGTGTGACTTGTAGGAAAAGCACAAGTTTATAGGAGAGATATGGCTAGTTGGAATGAAAACTATGGGCATTTAAACCAAAAGCCTGAAAGCTGCCTCAGCAAAGGCTTCTTGATTGCAACTATATGCAAAAGGTTAACCAAGGCAAGGAGAGACTGTTATTTTAACTGATATCTCAGAACCCTAAGTTCCAGTTGACAAACCATGAATTTAAAAAAATCAAAAGAGGAGAAAAAGAGACTGTACTTGTGGTTGCACACCTACTTGTTCATAAAGCCTCCAAGTTAATGAATCCCTGTCAATGATGAACTTACTTCAGTAAGCCTTAATTTTCAGCTGTCATAACTTATGAATTTCAACATGCACCATTTTGATCCACTAGACTAACATCGCTGAAGCAGTATATTTTTTCCTCAAAGAAATAGCGTCCAATCTCTTCATAGTGGTGTAATATTTATCTCCGTTTTGAAACTGATCTCATTTAAACTGAAAGTAAATAGAAGAGCACAGCACAGCATGTTTGGCCCTCATACATGCTGCTAGAACAAAGTACTTTTCCTGCCGATTAAAAGATAACTCATTTCAACCCTTCAGACTTCTGCACTACTGTAACTCACCAACAATACTGTTATATCCCATAAAATGTAATTCCCTTTGTGTTTCACCTTTTCTGAACTCAAGTTTTCACAGCACTTTAGGTATTATCATTAACTGTTGCAATTAACCTAATAACTTTTCCAGATCAAAGCCCAGAATGCCGAGGATGCCCAGGATACTATTTTTTGCTCTGAAGACGACAACAGTCTGTATTTCACATATAGCGGAAAATCAAACATTCTTGAAGTCAAAGAACTCAACTATCAGGTAAAAGTTGTAATTCATATACTCCCTTCAGCAGCGAACATACCCGGTAATGACTGTTTCTATATGCAAGCCATTTTTAAATCCAAACAAACTTGAAGTTCACAACACAAAGTTCACACAACTGTTGTGCAATCGAATACACGTGTTTTTTTAAGCACAATCATGCTCTTTGCTGCAATACGGACAGCAGGTTAAACCCTCCATTGTAAATATATCTAGTAAAGCTAGGGGATAAGAGAAGAAAAGAGATCTGTTTCTAGGCTCTGTTTTTTCTCAATCTTGAACCAAATTACTGCTCTGAAGGCTGGAGCAGAGGGCCCTTGGCAAGAATGAATATGCAGAAGGAGACAAAGAGAGGGTGACTTACAAGGAGGATTTCAGAAAAACAGTGACATTTTTCATCTCCCTTTTTTGCCTACATGGCATCTGAAATAGATTTCACAATTTTCAATTTTGCATAATTTCAAATTATATTAGAAATCTGAAGCATTTAAAATTTACAGTAATGATAAATTATCAAAGTAACAGAGGACAGAAATAGCTTTAGTAATTAGAATAAGAAGCAAGGCATGAAAGCATACTTGGCTGTAAAAGAACTTTCTTCCATATATTTCTGAAGATTAACAACATTATTTTAATATAATCTCTGCTTGCAATATAACTTTGGAGATATTTATTGCTAAGTAGGTTATTGCTTATACTGAAGGGACTTGTTTCTTTCTTTCTTAGGTTAACATGGCATCCCAGATTCCCTGGTATGAAAGCCTTGCTCAGATGAAGATGCCCTGGGCCTGGAAATCAGATCCCCATTCTCATGTGCCAATAATCCAGAATATTAATTTAAAAGTTCGAAGTGGTCAGATGCTAGCTATTATCGGAAGCACTGGTAAGAGCAAAGAAATTTCATGATTTTACCAACTCTCAGTTAAAACATACACTGCCAAGAGCAATACTCCGCAGTCTTGAATTACAAAATCTACTTGAGAAACTGTTGGGAATGTGTCACTTAAATATATTCTTTAAAACATATGAGGGAACAAAGTATGAGTAAACACAGAACGATATGGGGCGGGGCATTAGAATTTATTTCCAAATCCAACTTTTTTATGGCTTTTACACATTTGCTATTTTTTCTTGAGGTGTAGCAGGGTTTGTTGTAAGCGTGACCTGCAGTCCTGACTCTGCTGGACATGAACAGCTTCATGGCTCAGATTCAAAACAAGCCAATTGCAGACTTTACCAGTAACATAGCAGACAAATGAGGACAGACCCTGTAAGAAGTATCAGTGATAACTTGCATAGCCATAATCAGAAATTCCCTTCAGACTGAAACAATTCTAACAGGATAAAATATCACCTTTGGATCAGTTAAGAGAAATTTAGGGAGAAGAAAAGACAGTTCCTCTTCTGCTTGGCTTTAAATTGGGTCTTTGACTTACATTTTTTAGTGTGACTGGTTTAATCTTCTCGAGGTGAGGGTGACTAATAGAGAGATGGCCTTTACCCAATGTGGTTAGTTGAATCTGAGCTTACCTGGAGGGATAAATAGTAGACCTATTAAACTGAAGTAAAAAGTATCCATGCTTTGGAAGCAAAAAACCCCATGCTGTGTCTCCACTAGACTCTGACATCAGGTTAGCTCAGTGATTCAGTAAAGATGCTCTCTCTCAAAGGCAAAGTATATTTGCCAAAGAAATTACAACTTTATTTCTACAAGATAGGTTTTTCTTCCCCATTGCCATGGGATTTTTTTCTTAGCAGATATCCTCAATGTATTTGAAGTTGTACCTTAGATATTGTCCTGATAATAAAAGGAAAAGCTTCTGATGAAATAACATATTGACTTATAGCACCCTTGTAAAGTAATATACACTGAGCACAAGCCCCTTTTAGCAAACCAGTCGAACTATTTTTAAAAGCTGTTTATCATCTCTTTCATCAAATGGCTTAGTAAAATGGATGAAACTGCTGATGGGTTTCACATTGTCAATGGCAATCAATATGTCACTCTTAAACAGAGCAATATGTGGTTTACAGATGGATGGGTTTCTTTTTTAAAATGTATATATTAACAAAAAAGTACGGAGTTAATCTTTCAACAGGGAGACTAGAAATAAATGACATCTAATCATAATAAGACAGCTTTGTGTGTTTACATACAGTATCATACAGCAAAAAGGAAAAAATCATTTGCTATTGAATTCCAAATCAGGTGTTTTTTTCATTGTTTTACTTCTCTTAGATCTCAGTATGAGCCAGCTATTCTTAATTATTTAAATGACTTTTTGTCTTATTTAAGTCTCAATAATTTTTATTTCAATCATGATTAAGATTCCTATTGTCTGTATAATCATTCAGTGCCTTAATCATACAGCTGTTCCAGCAGCCGTTTCTGAATTCACAATTCTCTCCACTAAGCAAGCTCTCGCCAAGCATTTAGGTGCCAGCCCTGCACCCAGCATGGGACACCACCTTTCACCTGTGTTTCAAAAGTGAAAGAAAGGTTACAGGAAGTCAAAGACCTTATTATCTTTCTCCTTGAAGTCATGGAACTATCCTCAATGCCCAACTAAACAGTTCTGCTGGGAAATAAGAGAGTTTAAAGTCATGTACTCCGTTCCAGAGGAGAGAGATTTCCTGAACATGAGCTTATAGTCAGTATTTTCTTTCAAGATCATTCTGTCTCTGTGTCTTTGGAAAAGCTTCAGGAAGGGCTGAGGAAAAGACATTAAGGAATGAAAACTTCTATCCACTGTCTGTGACTAAATCACTTTTCAAATTTATCCCTTGGAAAATAATACAATTTTCAATATCCATTCTTCTAGCTGGTGGAAAGACATCCTTGCTTGATGTGATAACCTGCCGGGATCATGGAGGCAAAGTCACGACGGGTCAAATCATGATCAATAATAAACCCTGCACACCCCAGCTTGTTAAGAAATGCATAGCACACGTGCGTCAGGATGACCGACTGCTCCCTCACCTGACTGTCAGAGAAACACTATTGTTCGTTGCCAAACTGCGCCTTCCAAAGTTTTTTTCAGACTCACAAAGGAAAAAAAGGGTAATTAAGCTGTTGGAAGAAAATAAATTTGTCAAAAAAATGTGTCTGACAGGAATTATCCAAGAGATCCTGTGTGTTTAGAGTCAGAACAGCTAATCTGGCATTTTTTGATGTAGATTATGAATTATAAACCTTTCTCTTCTTTCAAGATAGAAACCAGCAATTGTTCCAAAGCTCATAAAAATTGACAATCTAGAGAAAGCATTAGAGAGGCTGAAAGAAGAACTAAATTGCTGATCGCTGAGTCTTTTTTAATGTTATCTCTAAAAATCAAGATTTGTTTTTAAGTGTCTCTTAATCAGATAGCACCGAAATATCCAGCTGAATTTTAACCACATTAATCATATTTTCAGCTTTATCTGTGCACGAGTGTGCAAATAAACTCTTGCTTTATCTCCGTTACCCTTCGGTTCCCCTCAGGTAGAAGATGTTATAGCAGAACTACGGTTGCGTCAGTGTGCAAACACCAGGGTAGGGAACGAGTATCTTCGTGGAGTTTCGGGAGGCGAGAGGCGGAGAGTGAGCATTGCTGTGCAGCTGCTCTGGAACCCAGGTGAGCAAAACCCTGCCACCTTCCTGTGGCCACCACAGACCACTGGGGGAAATGGGACAGTAAATGAAGACAGTTTTTTTCAGGGAGGAGTCATATGCACAGTTGCCCCTGGGGTAGCTTGAGGAGCTTAGGATACTTTAATAGGTCTTGTACCATCCTCTGCCAGAGGTTCCCTCTCCATAGCGAAGTTAGACACAGCGACTGAGCGCTGGTCCATTTGCTTAAATTGAAATCACTGCTGATCACAGATAATGCTGTAATATTACAGTAACATTTCTGTAAACTGAGTGTTTCAGCAGCTAGCCCACTTTTGCTTCTGCCACCTGTGCCAGTGGAAAAGCAGTGACAAACCTAGGCAGAGCCCCCGTGCTCTCTAAAACCAGCATCACACAGACTACTGGAAGTGGCCTGAAGTAACCCTCACAGCAGTGCTCTGGTTTGTAAATAAATACCAATGTGAGGTTTGTTTTTTGTCTGACCACATGCCATAAGTTACTTAGGCTGGTGGCCTATTATAACATTGTTTTCCTGTTCTCCAACCCAGCCTCCATTTCCATGTGCAATGTTAATAGGGAAGGTAATTTTTTAACTGTATCCTCAGTCACTGTGGTCTTGTGCAACTCAGTGAAGGGGCTGGCTTATGCCAGAGGACTAGAAACTTCCATTGCCTTCAGTAACAGCAAAAGTTGATGCTAAATCCACGGTTCATTTTGCAGGACTAAATCCCCTATCTGCTCTGCTATATATCAAAGCACTACTAATCTTGGCTTCAGCCTTTTGTTGAGCAAGATTTCCTATCAGCTCACCCACTGGGAAATGGATCTGAGAAATTGTTGCTTGTATAAAAGTTATATTTTTGTAGTTACGGGGAAAGCAAAAGTCTTTTTTCTTTTTTTTTTTTTTATTGTAAGAAACAATGGTCAGGAATAGATGTGCTGGTACAGAAGTAAAAGAAAATAATCAGTTGTAGGAAAAGTAAGTAAAGAATTCTTTACACTTAAAACATGTTACACCCCTCAGCAGAGAAACCATGTTTGTGTATAGCCATTGCCTTGTGCTCTTTGAAGCCCTTAAGCTCCATAGCACCACAAACACTACAAATTAATAAAACACTTCAAAGTTTGTAGCAATAAATTGCAAAACAAACAAGTAATTCCAAACACATGCATATCTCTTCACATATATGTATATTTACATATGTATACAGACTGCAAGTTGGGGGAGGAGGAGCTAAGTTAATACTGTATTAGTACTTACACATGAGTAATGCAGGAGGTTTTAATATCGAGCATTTAGGTTAAAATAATTCAGTAGGCAGGATACAAAACTAGCACTATTGTTTTAATTAATATTAATGACCTGATTAGTACAGGCAGTGTAAAACTGCAGAGAAGAATGTAAACTTAAGAAGGAACTGAAGTCTGCACCTCAATGAAAGATAAAGAAAACTCTGGTTTCCAGTGGAAGCAAGAGAAGATTTAAAATAATTACTCTTGGCCATCATGTTCAGTAAGATAGTGAAAGGAATTTCCAGTGTTGAATATTCTGTGATGCTGGTATGAAATATACTTTGGATTTAAAAAAAAAATTAAATATAGAATATATCCATGAGATTTCCTGCACTAGCACCATTTCACTTAGAACATATTTTCTAAATCAGACATGCTGCTTTCCTCAGCTAAACTTATTGTCTTTGGCAGGAATACTCATACTTGATGAACCCACATCTGGACTGGACAGTTTTACTGCACATAACCTTGTGATAACATTATCCAGACTGGCCAGAGGAAACAGATTAGTCCTTCTTTCACTTCATCAGCCCCGGTCAGATATCTTCCAACTGTTTGATTTAGTTCTTCTGATGACTTCTGGACTCACTGTTTATTGTGGAACAGCTAGAGACATGGTCCAGTATTTCACGGAACTAGGCTATCCCTGCCCAAGGTACAGCAATCCTGCGGATTTCTATGGTTAGTATCAAACACTGCCATAAAAAAGGGTTACTGGAGATCATGTGCTTTCATAAGTGCATCAGCTAACACTGATCTTTATTGACTATAACTGTCTTAGAAATGCTTTATAACTGACGCAAATCAATACTGTAGGAAATTCAGTTTTTAAGAAGATCCTTATTTGTCAGCACATGAAATGTAACAAAAACAAGAAGTATGGACAAAATCAGTTTTAAATAATCACCCTTCTAACCCTGCCAGGTGTAGCAGCCCTTCCACATGTTTAGCACACTTATTCCTATGTTCTAATTGGTTAAAACTTTAATATCTTCCCTGGGAAAGACATGGATGAACTGATCAACTGCTTTCTGTAGCCAGTTCTAAATCCAGAAATGTAGGAAGCTATTTTCCCAGCGTGAGGAATAATACAGCTGGAACAGTAAATGGGAAATAGGAGTGCTGCCCAACAGAGCATGTCGGAAGGGAGAAAAACCAAACCCAGGGAGCAGCAACCCTTTTATTCATCTTCTTGAAGAACATTAACTACATGGTTCCAAATCCATTTTTCTTCTGGGTTTTGCAACATGCAAAGGGAATCTGGCCCTGTTAATCTAATGGCAGTAGTCTCTTACCACAGAGGTTGGTTCAGTTCCAGCCTCGAGGTCAGTTGGCTCAGAAACCTTATACAAACATCAACCTCAGTGCTCTGGAGTAAACTCTTCAGCTGTGCCTATGTGGCAGGCAGCGTCTGCTCATATCAGCTGTGCAGAGATAAACAGAAGTAACCTCACTGTCAAGCCCTGCAAGACGACCTTTGTCATCACCATAGGTCAAAGCAGTCTCCACTTGATGAAGGCTTGTAGCACCCTGTATGTGAATGGAGACTGAGGCACTCATGGGGAGCCTTGTAGCTGCAAGCCCATTTACTGGTATGCAGAGTCAGCACCCACAGAGAGACAAGAGAAATATGGGCAGCAGGAAGGCAGAAACAGGACAGAATGGTAGAGGATGCCACAGCAAGAAGGAACACGTGACACAAGCACACACATTCTGGCTGTGTGTCTGATGGAGAAACAGGACACCATGGCAGAAGGGAAGAGGTAAGGCAGACTGCAACTCATTTTTGACGGACTCCTGCTGAGGAGTAGCTGCACAGAGATGATTAGCCCAGTGTAAGGACTTACAAAATGTGCAGATATAGTTCTCTCAGAAAGCAGGTATGTCAGGTATTGTCACTCTACACTGAAGGTCAGCACTGGAAAATACTATTAAGATTTAAAAGACTACTAGATTAAAAAAGATCATTGTTCAGTAAGTAATTTTGAGTCATTTATTTTTGCTTCTACTATGTTGTCCTTAGATAACGTTCTTGGGCTTTCTCAGTATCAAGTAAAGTTTATGGCACCTCGGCAAGATAGAAAAAGGATGATAACTATCATATTGCAGGTGGAAAAATACCACGTGATTTAAGTTAGTAACATAACAGATTGTGAATGCCTGCATGCCAAGAAGGAAATTCAAACTGTTTAATCCCAGCAGCCCTCTCAGGCCACTATTAAAATTTCAAAAAGTGTGAAATAGTAGTCTCTAATATTATAATAAGCAATTAGGAAATCTCAGTGATTCATTGTGCGACTAGGGACATTTCCCAAGACAAAATACACATTAACAATCTGTTCTTTCCTAATTACCTAAAGTAACTGATAAAGTTTTAACCATTGTAGCTTAATGCATGCACACAGGTTGTACTGCCTGCTCGTGATAACATTTCTGATTCTAAACACATCATGAAGTTACTACATCTGTAGCATATGGATACATGTCAAATGTCTTGCAGTTGATTTGACCAGTATTGATAAACAGACTGCAGAAAAGGAGATGGAAAGCCGAAAAAGAGCAAATACTCTTGCCAACTTGTTCCTAGAAAATGTCAAAGATTTTGATGATTTCTTATGGAAAACTACTGAAGGAGACAATGTTGCAAAAACACTCAGCAAGCAAAGGTAAAGAGAAGAACATCATACAACAGAACTGGAATTAACAGCCACAGCCTGTGCTAATTTCCTTTTTTTTTTCTTTTTTATTTTGGGCAGGTCCCATGTGAATTCAGAAGAGGCTATCGACATGCCTCACCATTCATGTGATCAGTTACCAGGAGCCTTAAAACAGTTCACTATATTATTAAGGTAACCTATCTCCAGCATAAACAGTTGTAAATCATGCCTGTTTGCATTTCAAACCGTAAGAAAGCAGCACAAAATAAGAACTGAGTGCATGCTGAAAATGCAGAGCTAGCTCTACGCCTGAGAATGCCTAGAGCAGAGGAGTTCCCGTACCAGCTCACCCCAGCTGTCTGCACAGGACAGCAGCCAGATGTAGCACCCCACCTTTCAGCCCCAGGGCTCCTCCCAGTCAGCTCCAGGTCATATCGTTGGGAGGCTGCAGCTTCAAGGAGCAGCAAGAGCCTCCAGGCTTAGCATTTGGGTGCTGCCTTCCTGATACCAGGGCCAAAGTGTGGTGACTCAACCCTCAGCAAGCCCAGGCTCAGGCATTGCCGTCCTCACACCTCTGCCTCAGATTTGAAGCCAGAAGGCTTTACTGATGATATCCAGCATAGATGATAGGTACTGCAGTTGGGTTTCATGCTTGCGTACTCAAAAGAAACATGATCAACAGGGTTAGAACCTGTAAAACATCACTGCCAGTATCATCTGTTGTTAGCATATGGTACAGATCCCTAACAGAGAGACTTCTGTGACTGAAGTAATTTCTTCTGTCTCTCTGAAATCAGACCGTCCCACCTTCATTGCCTTCCTTCAAGCTTTCAGAATTTTGGACCTGAAAGAGTGGGCAGCTACAGACACTCAATAGCTTTGATTAAGTAAAGTCCTTTATGGAAAGAGACAGCCTGACTTCTATCCTATTTGAAGTCAGGAAATCTCATGAACTGATTTTAGGAGAGTATTCAGACAGCGTATCTGAATTAAAGTGGCATTAGTAAGTACTATATCTTATGGTCATGTTATTGTTTTCCTAGTCGTCAGGTCTCCAATGACTTCAGAGATCTTCCAACGCTATTAATCCATGGAATTGAGGCCCTTCTCATGTCATTATTAATTGGATTTTTGTACTATGGCCACGAGAAAACCAGACTTTCTATTCGTGACACAACAGCACTGTTGTACACGATAGGTGCATTAATCCCATTCATAGTGATTTTGGATGTTATTGCCAAATGTAAGTGCCAGTTTTCTCGTGAAATTTATAAGCAATCAAAATCAGAAAATTCTTAAATTGATAAAAAAATTATACTTTTTAATGCAGCCCTAAGATGAAACCAACCTGTTTTTTCCTGCCCTGCAGGTCATTCGGAAAGAGCTATGCTTTATCATGACTTGGAAGGTGGAATGTACTCTGTTAGCCCATACTTCTTTGCTAAGGTAATTGGATTCATTGCCAGAAAATACAAACTGCTAGCTTTAACATTAAAAAACACAAACAAGTCAAAACCTCTTGTATAAATGATCACATTCTTATTTAACTTTGTTCTTTTGTGTCTGCCAGCTAAGGTTATTGTTCTTGCTTCCTTGGCATTAATGGATGAAACCTCACACTACTTTAGACCTGTTGTCATAAGTCATGGCTGAGATCCCATCCCAGAAAAGCCAAAGAAGAATCTTTCACTGGGTTTTAGCTGGAAGCTGAGAAATCTCAAACTCAAATGTGAAGGATTAGACCATTTTACATACCTGAATGTTTCATTCACGGAAACATTTTTGAAAGTTTGATTACATGCCTTGATCTGCAAAACAAAATATTAATACTAAACGCTAAAGCAAAGGTAAAATGGAAATGACAAAATGCTAACTGTGACATTTCCTTCCAGTAGTTGTTTGGGCCTGTACTGGTCAGAGACAAACTTAAGTGCATAAAAAGCCAGAGTTTCTGAAAAAACAAAATCAAAACCCCAGAACTTTTTTAAAAAGTACATTTTTTTTTTTTTTTTTTTCCACAGGAGTTTAGAATAATCCCTTCTTTGTGATGTTGCCACTGTTAGATGAGTTCTGCCTGCCATGGCATCTGTAATTTAGGTTTCCATTTCTGCACAAGACTTTAAATGCTTATTAATGGTTGCCAGAGAAAAATATTCTTTGCATTGTGTCACAAAGATTGCACATTATTCAGAGAGAAATCGATGTAATTTATTACAACCTTAGTATTAGAAGATAGTTACAGCCCTCTTTGGAAGAAATAAGCATAATGCTCTCTCTATATATCTTTAGATATTTGAGAAAATCCTGTGCTTTTTTGTTTTACACTGAGTTTAGTAGCTGCTAAGTGGACTGCCTTTGGGACAAAGCAGGGAAGTGACCAACAGCAAAATTTGTCTCCAGTTTGGTCTCACACCAGAGTCAACCAAATTTAGACAAAACATATGGTTTCCATGAGTCAGTAACAGTATTACTATCAAGCACACCAGTTCTCAGGGAAAGTGTCTTAAATTCTTAGTAGCTGCCAAAACAAGACATCTAATCTGTAACGAGAATCCTCTCAATTTAACAATTAGTTATAGGAATTGTCACAACTGGAGAAAGAATTAGTGAGGATTTCAGTTGCTGGTTTTGCATGTCACTGACAACACCTAACAGGGAGATGGCTGCATTCTACAGTTTTTTTTCCTGTAGTTTTTAGAAACAGTCCATAAGTACATTAAGGTACATCTGAGGTGGTTTTGTAAATATTATTCAACTTATTCTCTAATTTTTTCTTCCTGAACAGATTTTGGGGGAGCTCCCAGAACACTGTGGCTTTGTTATCATTTCTGCAGTTCCCATCTACTGGCTGTCAAACCTTGTTCCTGAAGTAGAACATTTCCTGCTGTACTTCCTCTTGGTATGGCTGGCTGTGTACAGTGCCCGTGCAATGGCACTTTGGATGGCAGCACTGCTGCCGACATTACAGCTTGCAGCCTTCTTTGGCAACGTCATTTTCACAGCATGCTACCTGAGTGGTGGTTTTGTGATAAGCCTGAAAAACCTCTGGACAGGTAGGACAAAGCTCCCAACATGCCTCCAAACTGAAACACTGATGGTTTCCATCAGCAAGTGGTTGTTGTGAGGCTGAGTGTGTCCAGGGCAGGCAAACTGAGCTTTATTTCTACCTTTGCAATTGTCATCTTGGGTGGTGACATCTTGGAGTCAGATTGTTCATTTTACATCATTTTCTCCAAGAATGAGGTAATGAGAAGTTTGGTCAAAAAAACCACTATTTTTTATATTGTTGCTAATTTTTTTCAGTAAAAGGAGTTATATTCAGTAGATAAAGTCTGAGCTCCAGTTTTTATCTGCTGACTCTGTTGACAGTGGGAGTTTGAAAGACATGGGTATTAGTGTTCTCCTGATTGTCCATCTCCATGTGACAATATAAAGTATCTCTGCCATTTTGTCCAGTAATGAAATGGTATATATATACAGCCTGTGGTTGTCAAGAAATTAGATAAACCTGCTGTATCTGGCAGCCACACAGCAGTTTTTGAAGTCTCAAGTTGTGTGTATGTGTATCAATTTCTTTCTGCCTCTTTTTTTCCTTCCAGTTCCATATTGGTTTTCTAGAATCTCTTTCCTCAGATGGAATTTTCAAGGAATGATGCAAATTCAGTTCACTGACACCACATATGAAATGCCTTTCGGAAATTTTAGTTTTCAAATACCGGGGAAACTTGTAAGTCACTAATAAAGATCATTACAAACATGTGATAACCAAGCAGAACGCTATTTGTGTGCCTGTCGTATTTAACTAGATGCTGCAGGACCCAAATTTGGCAAGCACTGTATTAATATGTGAAGTCATGTTACACTTTGTATGTTTCAAATTTGGGCCTACAGCACTCACTTCTTTTGTGCCTTTCTTCATAGTGGAAGAGAAAAAAGGGAAAAAAATAAAATAAAGGGCAACTATTATCTACACAAGGCCCAACTACTGCTTGCTGAAATTGTACAGAAGTGGAGCTCTGTTCCTCAGGAATACTGCAGCCACTAGACATAGTGTATGTGTAACCAGCTATCAATCCTCTCCAGGAGTTATAGCCTGCTGGAGACCAAGGGGAAGGGCGGCAGGGACCAGACATTCACCCAAATTGCGTGTCTGTTCCTAGTTTTGTGTTTTCCATGGTTACAGGTGATACAGTCTATGGACCTGGACTCCCACCCTCTCTACATGAGCTACCTCGTCCTCACTGGCACCATCGGCGCTTTCCTGTTTTCCTACTACATGTGTCTGAGATTCATCAAGCAGAAATCAACCCAAGACTGGTAACAGCAAACCACGCAGAGGAGGCAAGGACCCAGGGCAAGCCCACACGCTGATTTTCGGTGCAAAGAGAGCGGAGCCGCGGGGCCGGCTCGCCGCAGGATGGCAGCAGCACACCGGGAGCCGGGAGCCACCGGCTTCACTTCGGGATTGCAGCCCGGAATTGGGGCTTGGGAGAGGCTTGGGGGGAGGGTGGTTTTGTTTGACGTACCGGTTTTATGCGTGGCAAGATGCTTATGATTTCTCCACACCTTGAAATATTCTGAGCTATGGGCCAGCGATTTAAAAAGGACCCATCTTGCTTAGTAATACCTGATGTTTTAGTCCATCATGTTTGAATATAGAGTGATCACAGACTTAATTCTGAGCGAACAGCATCAGCACATGCAAAACACTGCTTTCTGTAGCCTGTATAACACTCAGCACTCAGAAGAACAGCCTAGAGGAAAGCAACACAGAAGATTTCACTGGTGCTTCAGGAGAACACGAAGTGCAGAAAACACAGCTGTTAACTGTGAGGGTTCTAATTGCTGATGTGTTTTAAGGCTTTGCCTCTGTGTACCAGTTCAATGCTGTTGATGCCCCAAAATGGGTATTTACTAACTGTACAGTTGATTTCTAGTAACAGAGCAAATTATCTCACCTTCTTGGGTTTATTTTTACAGTATAAATACATTCCAAGTGATTGTTATCAAGCCCATCTTTCTCCGTGGCAATAAAATCATAGCAATGTGCCAAGTTTGGTTCCTAAGATTTTTCAGGTAGAAAATACCTACCTGCCCCTCCAGTAATTAAAAATGTGATGATGCCATCTGTGAAATGCTTGTAATGGTGCACCTAGTTATGCTCCGACATAGGACACAAATGCTCACAAAACGACTAAGAGTAAATAAATGGCTATAATTCACCTGCAGTCACAGTAAGTGCTTGTGCAAACTATGTATGCAGTTGTTGTGAGGATTTTATAACATTAACGTGCTTGGTTTTTTATTTGGATGCATATCTCTGCGCTTATACACAGAGACACAGAGCATGTTGTCTGCTCTACTTTGATTTACATGTTGCACACAGGGCGAAATTCCTAGTGTAATCAGCTATAACACCCTGAATACTCTTACGCAAATCTCTCCCCCCTCTTTCTTTTTTTTTAAGAAATAAGATGAAAGAACATCAATATTTTATTATTCTATTTGGCCATTAGGACTGCCACATTACTTTACACAGGTTCCACGTGGTAATAAATTCCCAGGCACACTCTAGTCTAAAGGTGTTAAGCAGGTCTGATTAAATAACAGTTTCAGCCCCAGGCAGCAACAGGAATCCAAATCCATTCCAAGGTTCTTCTAAGGTGAATTTTACCATTTCTTCCCGGTTCTGCTGCATTTGATTTTGGAAAAAAAAAGGACCCCAACAAACCCCACTTGATCTGATCCTAGTGCCATTTTGAAATTATCAGATTTTCATTGCCTGTTAATGGCAAAGCCAATTCTTTCAGTCCAATTCAGCATCATTAAATTGTCAGACTAGCAGCTTCCTGTTTGATTCTTAATTATTCCTTTTTATTATATTTAAGACACTTAATTTTTTTAAAGTGGTTTACTCTTCTTTGTAATGATCTGTTGTGATTAGAATCTCTTTTCTATTACACTGAAGTTTTAAGGGTATATATTGGTACTTCTAGTCTAAACCTCTATTTTCAAGGTATTTAGAGGATTAAATTCTAGGCTGACTCTCTGTTGTGAATTCACTTTGATGTTTAATAAAAAAAAAAGGAGCGACACAATGGGAGAAATTAAAGACATAAGGGACAGCTCTGAATTTTAGGGGCATATTGTCATGCACAGAAATCTTCAGGCATCTAGATAAGAATATACCATAGCCTTAACTTTGAATTTCTTTCCTTTTGTGAAATTAGTCAGGCTGCTGACATTACTTAAACAGCCTTTTTCAATTTAAAATTCCACCCTCTTTAACATTATGCAGCAGGACCAAGCGGTGTGAGTGTTTCCGAGGTGGTGTTATGACAAGGGTGGATATATACATAATGGGAACTTGAGTGGTGAGCCTCGGAACAGCCATCGTATGGGGTGTAGGAAGAGCTATCATAGGATGCGGCCAGGCCTGTGTTTACACAGAAAAAGCTCATATTCTATATACTACAATTACATTAACACGCTGCCTATGATCATATCTTGTTTCCTTGATGCCTAGAGATGGGGAATATAGGCTGTGATTATTGTTACAGGCTTTAGCAATAAGAAGATGGGAGCCTTGAAATACCAGCAATTAGCGTTGGTGCCTAACAATAGCATGCCGTGGGGCTGTGTACCGGGAAGAGCACGGGGAAGAGCGGGTGGATGACACACCACCTGCCCCACTCGCTCTGCCAGGAGCTGAAAATAGTACGAGTTTAGGGGGAATTACCCACCTCCTAGCCAATGAAGGTCACGCTGTACACCACGGCCTCTGCCTTCGAGTCCTGCTTCACGTTAGTTTTGTGTGGTAAAAGTTTCCCACTTCCACAGCGGAGCTGCTGCTGCTGCAAAAACAAGTGGACAGTGAGGGAACAGAAGTCTTCCTGAGAGTTCTAACCAAGGCTAAATGTCTTAATTTAACGTCAGCACAGCTCTGCTTTCCAGGTCTCAAAGTAGGCGCCCTGTTTCCTCAGGACTCCCCTGTGTCAGCAGCAGCTCGGAGCGCCCTCCTGCCTACATCAGGATAACCAGCTGCAGCAGTCTGCCACCATCTCGACACAGAGACTAAAGATCACAAGCTCACTGTGCAGAACTCACCATCCTGTCCGTCCCACACACGACAGAGTTCAGTTTGTTACGGAGGTTAAGCACTGCAGTGAGGCAGATCTGCCTTCCAAGTGGAGGACTGCCTGCGGAACAAGGTTGCAGGCCTGAGGATTCACCCACTCCCGCCTTTGGTCTCCTGTATCCTCCCTGGCCAGACTCAGAAAGTATCTCCTCAGCCCTAAGTCACGGTCCCTGTTGGGGCAGGCAATCAGGACAGCGCAGGATGGGTTTTGGAACGGCATCATGCTTAGTTGGTTATGGAGTCTCCAAGTTGTTTTGCCCAAACGCTGTTTGGGCTGCCCAGTGCAGGACATGAACTGCACCAGGCTATGGGGTTTCAGCCTGCATACACAGCAAATTTGGGAACGGGAACATCAAATACAAGAGACAACAATATTTGTGAGGAAAATTCACCAAATTCAGAAGTAAAAAAATCTGTGTGGGTTAAACGGATACTATAAAGTACTGTGCGGACAACAGAACTGCATGGTGTCACACCACCCCTACGTACTAAAGATGGCGTCTTATCTGTAAAGACACAGGTAAGAAAGATATGTCTTTATTACTGGAAGTATTTAACACAGGGAGAGGTGGGAAAGTTCTTCCCCAACCTCCACTCCAAGTTTATGCAGCCTCTCCACTTGGCAAAAGGGACAAACTTCTTTAGCACTGGAAAATGGATTATAGAAACACTGCTTTGCATATTGGCTCGTGGGTAGTGGCAGTCCTCCAAAATACTTTTAACTCGTCGTTTGGAAAGGACTAGCTTTCACTATGGCTAAGCTAAATTAATAAGTAGCTGCTGAAAGTTTCATCCCGTATTCGTTCGTCGCTAAATGCATTCAGAAATGCTAAATAAGTAACAAGTATCAATAGCCACCCCTTTTAATTAAAAAAGACACCCGTGGAATTCCTTTAAAAACAGGTAAATCACAGCCAACATGCTAAGCAGGGAGGTGAGAAACTGCAGGTGTTGGTATGTCCACTAGTACCAGAAAAAACAAACCTGTCACGTTTTAGCCACAGTGATTAATTTTACTGGCAGTAGACAAGAGAGAAGGTACATGGAGCTCTGTGACATGCTGCTTTTTTTCCTGTTACACTCTGAGAGCCAAGACAAGCCCTTCACATGTTAGCAGCTATTAATTAAGGCAACAATGTTTAAGCAGTGGGTTGAGGTAATTTTAAAACCACTTAACCCTTTTAAGAACCGATGAGCTTTAAAAAGCATATACATGTGCGCGAGTTCATATTAGCGTGCGTATGCAGAGGTATCTGCACGAAGAGATTACATATATAGGTATATACACACACAACCATAATGCCTATGATAGCTCCTTTTTTTTTTCTTTCAAGGAATAAGGAAAAATCAATTCAGATCCATGATTTACAGAAGTGCTGCTGCACTTACAGAAGTGATGTGATTAATTATAAAACTGTTTGTGGATGTTTACTCACTGAATCAAACTTATGGTTATTCTGAATTGCAAATTTTGTTGGCATTATTTTGCTTTTGTGGTTACAATTAGGTACTTTCATGTTTAGATAAATAATTTTGTGGTTATAATTAGGTACTTAATGCTTCCAGTACTAAGAAACTGCAGCTTAATAGACCCCTCAACCTTCACATCACAGCTCCAGAACCAGCATCTCCCATCAATGACACATGTGGGTCTTTTGCTCATTTTAAGGATCTAATCAGACTTTGCCTAGATTACTGGCATGCTTACTGAGATCAGTACTGTTTCTGCCTCACCTTAATTCTTCACGTTGAACAATTGGGTATAGAGGCACAAATGTTAAAGGACCGGCACATGCAAGACCCGATGCCAAGAAGAGTGCCCTGAAAGAACTGAGTATTACCTTAAGGATTACTTTTCAACAAACACCAGATCTTCTACTACTCTTACATGAAAACAGCTGATCACCTCATGGCCGTGCTTCAACTCACTGTAGAAAGGTGTCAAGCCAAAATAAAAGGGACTTCCAAACCAGGCAACAGCAAAATATGCTGCCCCAACTGAAAAATTTGAGAAACAGGGCACATGCTGCCCTTAATTCACTGCTGCCAAGTGCAGGATGTTACATTACACAAGGCAGTCACTGGATTTCCAAGTAAGCCAGAGGCCAAACTTGTGGTAGCCATCACCCCAAGAGACTTTGATCTCTGCTGAGAAAGGCAAAGCACCAATAATATTTTGCTCTTTCAGCCTTCCTTTAATACAACTAGTATTAGGAAAAACTCTTCCCTGTGAGGGTGGTGAGGTGCCCAGAGAAGCTGTGGCTGCCCCATCCCTGGCAGCGTCCAAGGCCAGGTTGGAAGTGGCTTGGAGCAAGCTGTGCTAGTGGAAGGTGTCCCTGCCTGCGGCCGGGGCTGGAACTGGATGAGCTTTAAAGGTCCCTTCAACCCAAAACAATCCAAAATTCTGTGATGATTTTATGATTTAATTAACTGGCTTGTAATTCCTAGCAACATGGTCACAGGTTGCCACCCCTCACAGAGCTGAAGGGGCATTTCAGGCCAGCATTTCAGGAACAGTCAAAAAGCCAGAACCATCCCACCAGCTCCACAGTAATTCTGTACACAGAATTCCTGCCTTCCCCAAATCCTACAAGTAATCATGTAAAAAGCATTTTGGCCAAGTATTATTATTACCTAAGTGCACTATCTAATGACAGCAGAGCTCAGCACCCCAAACACTTTAGACAAGCTTGCTTCAGGTCTATCCTTTCTAAAAGCAAGACAAAAGAAAGGTGAAGTAATATTTTTAGCTTTATATACTCCATAGGGAATTTCTCAATGCTTCTGTATTGGAAAAACGCCTTTCAGCTTTGTAGTATGTTCAGTGACAGGCGCATGATAAATTTCCACTGGAAAAAGCTCTCAAACATGACTGACAATAGTAAAGCCACAAATGACCGTAATTTTATGCCCCC